AGCCAGTGAAAACAATTCCATCACAAAGCAGGTCAAAAGGGAGGTTCTAAAAGCAAGTGATCCGTGTCAAATTACAACATTACTGATGAGAGTGGAAGTGATTGGTCCTGTCCTGGGTCGGCGGTCTGGGAATAATTCCAATTAACTATAGTGGTATAGGTCAATATTTTGAATTTAAATCTTTCGTTTAGACAGTGATTTATGTCCACCAAAAGCCTAATGGTATCAAAAAGGGGCCTGCATTTTGTTACTCTGGCTTTTTTGACTGTTTGACCAAAGTGTATCATTATTTGTGTTGTGGTAACTTCTCTGTTTCTCAATGGCAATTATTACCACAGAGATATTATGGCTTTGATGTTCCTTCCATATGGTATAGATTGTGTACAATATTTGATTACAGAGGTTTCTCCTGCTCAGAAACATTACATACCTTGGTCTGAAAAATGCACTATACAAATAAAGATTACTTATTTACTTGATTACATCTAGAAGTGAGATATATTGTGTGTTGATGGGACCAGATTGCTGTTTTGTTTACAAAGGCACATTACAAGACACCAAATTTCAATTAATTGAATATTTATATTATATATCATTCAATAATATGCTTGGTCCATCCGCTTTTCAAACTTTATTCCTATTTATTTTGACTCCTGTTTATTGATCGGCCTTTTTGTGTACATTAGTTTGAAACAAACAATTACTACTATTACTACTACTACTACTCCTACTACTATAGTACTATAAGGGCCATATTTGTTATTCTTTAGGCCGGGTGACATCGCACTGTAAATTGCATTACAATTGACATCCAAAATATTTAGCAAACCCACAATTTAAGCAGTAGTAGTTGGAAACTAGACAAAATGAGGATTAATGTAGAATTAAAGCAGGTCTAAACCATGATCAGGATAGGATTGTCCGTGTCCAGCTGGATATGTTTAGGCATAATGGTCACCCTCTTTCCGTGGATGGCGCTGAAGTCTTGAGCAAACTCCTTGACCTTGCTCTGAAGGACAGGTCAGTCTTTAGTGACAGTATTTTGAACGTGGCCGCATGTGCAACACAAGCGTTTGAGACGTTATGACCTGGTTCTGAGTGTCCACAAATACAAAAAGGTAACCAGGAGACAAGCATAAAGTACGCAAAACACACAGAACCCAACCACAAAACAATCGCCAGAGTATCGACAGTGTGAGTTTGATTGTTCTGTTTTCTTCCTGTGGTGGTGAAGCAGGAAAGCAGGCAGGACACGGTGCTGTGGTGAGGCCTAGCTCCCAGGTTTGCTTGTTGATAATCATTTATTTCCATGTCCAGGGGCACTGACTGTGTCGTGGCTCCTTTGGCACTTGTGGTTTTAGCTTGAATCTATTTCCGCTCTAGTCTCTGCTCTTTGTTTGTAATACTTCATTACAAGCCTATGTTTACATTTCAGCCTCGATGAACTTGCGGTGGAGGGACATTTGTTTACATATCAGCGCTACCGTGTCACGTGACCAAAACGTAAGAAGAGAATCCAGTCATTTTTCAAAATAAAAGATGGTTCAGACTTTGATAAAAAGTACAGAAATTATTTATTCTTTCCTTGGCGGCCCGGTTAGAATTTTCCATGGCCCGGTACCGGTACCAGGTATGGGCTCTGAAGGACAGGTCAGTCCTGCTCTCCCTGACCAGGAAAGGTACCGGTCTTTTTCTTTGCTCGCTGTGTGAATAGCCTGCTGCTTTTTATCATAGTTTGGAATTTCTCAATTTAGCATTTTCAACAAGTGTGCTGCATTTGGTGGCATAATGTCAGTCCCATGACAGAGTGTGAATAGTTTACATATATTGTGTTTGGATTGTTGGAGGTTGAAAAGCTCCGATTTAAAAGGGACATTTTCAAAGCAAAACATCTCCAATATTATTTTGTTATATACTGTGTAATTTTTAAATTTACTGTTTGTGCAGTTGTCATGATCAAATGGATTTGATCATATTTCTTCTTTTGCTGAATTCATAGAAAAGAAACACCCAAGCTCAAAAATGTGGTATGTTTGTTATCTTTAACTTCCACATGCACAGAACCCCAGTGGGAGCCTTCACTGGAAATACAAGATAACAGACTAATCCCCTCATACTTTCATAACAGCACTGCAATTTTGTAATAGCATAAGAGTAATGGTAGTGCGGGAAATATCAGTATGAGCATACAAATATATTTGTATGTCAGATTACGTACTCTTTCATAGTCCACAATCCGGTCATAATAATCAGTACATTTTTCATCATCTCGAATTTACTTTCATGTTTTAGATGTAACATTTCCATGTACTTTGAAAAATTAAAGATGTTTTACATTAACTGTTGCAGAAGTCACTTCTGCATGTCTGTTTTTGACACTATACCTCCGGCAGACCCTTGGTTTTAGCTGAACTAGCCCCCCCACACTCAACTCCCTTCCACATATGTCATTTATTTCACTTGGCCTCACCACTATTCCCATTCCACTCTGGAGAAACATCCCCCACACAAACGGCTCTGAATGACCCACTTTATTCCAACCGAGTCAATCACCTAAAAAAAAAAAAAAAACATTGTAGCCTCTCTGTACCTATGTTTTAGTTGTTTTTTTCCGTTGAATAATTCAGTCCTTCTACTTCTCCAATTGCTTTGACGGGAGGGTTTCACAATGTTCATAGATTAGCAGGATTGGGGCCGCATGACATTTGGCACTGGAATCTTAAAACATATTTTGTCTATTTAAGTTGTCATAGAGCCAGTTATGGAGACTGCTAGTTTGAAGCCAATATTTTCTATCCTAAAGTGCTGAGCTCCAGGAGGCTGCATGCTGTGTCATTCATATGAATTCTGATCATTATCACATATTATGACATGGGATAACAGAAAACAGCATGAAGAACTCTTCATACTACTCCATCATTGTCTGAGTAAGAATGTATCTTTCTAGAGATCAAATAACTAATTCATTCATATCAGAAGTTCAAGGATTGCTAACTTTTTGTTTCACATTTTGTTTGTCTTGTAAAATGAGGCCACAACATGTCTTTATCATATAAGAAAACATGTTATCTTTTGCATTCTTGTAAGAAAGAGCCATATGAGTCATTATTTGACACTCTGGTCTGAATGAGGGCGGTGCTTTCTTTTTCTCTATTCAGTCATAATTTTAAATCAGCCTTTTCAGCGGAAAAACATACATACAAAACTAGTGATAAAATCAAGCGGTTTGGTTCAACCTGGAGAGACTACAAGAGACGAGATGCGTTTAAGAGTTATTTATTTTATGGATTTAGTTTGTTTATTGGTTTGGAGCTTAGGCCCCGGCTGTGGCCGTGCTCTGAAGAGATCTGCGCCTGGGTGCAGATCATGATCCCCCGGGGCCTAGACACTGGTGGTGGCAACAAGGCAAGGTGAATGTGAGAGTGAAGAAATCCTGAGGCGGAGGTAGGGAGGAGGTGGTTGCAGCTTGAAGTCCGTTTGGTGAGCTGTGCTCTGCTTTGCTCTTAAACGCTGGCTTGATTGACACGGCTGCGGGGAGTTGATTAGGACAGGCTGAGTAAGGCGTGGTCAAGCCTGGTGTGATAATGTAGGTAGTCTACCATCCTGAACCTCCGCTTAAGCTGCATTATGCTTTTTTAACATGATCACATTTTCTTTGGTTTGAGTGAAACAAAACACATGTTGCATTGATTAAGTATTGTCAACATAAAGCTCACTCACAGTTGTGTTTGCTATAGGAAAAAAACTGTCTTTATTCAATAGTGCATATGGTATTATTTACAGAGACTTACAGCCCAAAAATTGTTAGGCTAATTTGTAATTTAAAGCTGGGTTGATCAACTTTTCTTCATAAATAATACATATGGGTAGAACAGAAAGACAACCTGCTGTCTTCATGTTTTTAGATACACATTTTATGTATACACATTTAAAATGACATTTTATGTCATTTTATGATTTTAATGTTTTAACGTTTGAAATTACCTGTGTGATTTTAATGTGTTTTAATGGTGATTTTGGAGTTTGTTTTATGTGAGGATTTGTGCATTGTGTGGTGTGGACTGTGAAGCGCTTTGTGTTTCCCTGTGTAAGAAAAGTGCTCTATAAAAAAAGATTGATTGATTGATTGATTTCGGTCTGAAAAAGCTGATCTTAAGATGGAACTAGTTAGATTTAGTTTATTAATGTAGTAATTTTTGTGTGGTTTGAAAAGAGAAGTTTACATTTAGATTGCATCCTTTAAGAATAATTCGGTCCCCTTTCTTTTATCTCCTCCACGTGCCGCTGCACATGTCAACTATAAAGTGTGCCATTGAGTTCAGCATATAAAATATTTTTCTATGCATGTAAACGCATACATGTATTATTACGAATACATACAAGGAATAACAAAAGAGCCCACTGAGTATTGTACATCCCAAAGTAAATATGGAATTGTGTTTGGGCAGCATTTTGAAAGTGACTGAGTGCAGACACAACGACAGCAGCAGCCCTCTTACTTTTCTGCAGGACACATAGGTGGAACTGTAAATCTTACATTGTACTGCTTGAACATGTGTGAGTGCATCCTTCCTCTGGTCTGCTCCCTTCATCATCACTTCTGCAGGTACACACAGAAACAGCCTCTTTAGCATCTTTCAATACAACATTCCAATTACTCTGGTCCTAACTGTGTATTCATTACAATGTTGAACATTAGTTGTTTTTGTTGTTGTTAGTTGTCCTGCCATCCCTGCTCTAGGACAAGCTCTCCCAGCTCAACGTGCCCGATTCCACCTGCAGGTGGATCACTGACTTCCTGACGGACAGGAAGCAGCGAGTGCGTCTGGGGAAGAATGTCTCGGACTCTCGGATTATAAATACAGGAGCCCCACAGGGCTGTGTTCTTTCTCCCCTGCTCTTCTCCCTGTACACCAACCACTGCACCTCCAGCCACGACTCCGTGAAGCTGATCAAGTTCGCGGACGACACCACCCTCATTGGACTCATCTCCAACAACGATGAGTCCGCCTACAGGAGGGAGGTGGAGGGAGGTGGAGGTGGCGTTCAGCTCCAACCTGGAGCTGAACGCCCAGAAGACAGTGGAGATGATTGTGGACTTCAGGAAGAGCACTGTCCCCCCGCCCCCACCCTCCGTGATGGACTCCCCCATCACCTCTGTGGAGTCCTATCGTTTCCTGGGCACCACCATCATCCAGGACCTCAAGTGGGAGCCGACCATCAGCTCCCTCATCAAGAAGGCCCAGCAGAGGATGTACTTCCTGCGGCAGCTCAGGAAAGCCAAGCTGCCTGCACAGATGTTGGTGCAGTTCTACACGGCCATCATCGAGTCCATCCTCACCTCCTCCATCACCGTGTGGTTCGCTTGAGCCACAGTCAGGGACAAACAGAGAATATTCTTTATTTTTTATTATATCTCTCTGACTGTTGCACTGAGCCAAAGCAATTTCCAAGTCTGTGACTTCCTGTTACTTACGTGGCAATAAAAATTATTCTGATTCTGATTCTGATTTTTCTATACCGATAGATAGATAGACAGATACTTTATTGAACCCCCGTATAGGAGAAATTCAGGTGTCCAGTAGCTGCAAAAACACATTCAAACAAAAAGAAAAAATAGATTATTCTAAAAATAGCTAACAATAGTATTAAAATACAACAGCACTTTAGGTCACAGCAGCAGAGGTGGTGTAGCCTCTGGGTGGAGCAGAACAGGTCACAGCAGAGGTGATGTAGCCGCTGGGTGGAGGAAGACTGGTCACAGCAGCAGAGGTGGAATATCAGCTTGGTGGAGCAGGATGGGTCACAGCAGAAGAGGTGGTGTAGCCCTGTTCAGCTGGTTCGGACCATTTTCTCTGCTCTAATTCAAAGGCAAATGCTGAATGCGTTGTTAGCATTTTTCAAAAAGTTAGATTTCCCCCAATGGACATCTCCAATAGAAAAAAGTGAGAAAAATAACAATTGTAAAGCACAAAACAACAACTGTTTCAGAGCTACTTAGGACTTGCTGCCCTTTCCAGCGCAAAAAAAAAGTAAAACTTTGTATGGTCCTTTATATGCTTCCTTTGTGATTTTTTGTTGTCTATATGTTTTGTGAATAAAATGTCGGCAACAAAATACCATTTGTGAGGGACACTGCTGTCCCTGATGAAGACGCGTTGGTATGTCCTTTGAAATGCAGTAGACAATTAATTAATTTATTGTGATTGGATTGTCTAATATAGGCTACTCAATCTCTTTTGTTATTGCTTTTTGCAGTGTATAGAACAGGGGTGCTCGCACTTTATCAAACTAAGATTTATTATAACCAACAATTGAGCCATGATCTACCTTGGATTTATGTGGGAGTGTGAGTACTTAGAATATCAGAGATGGTTCATGATAAAGAGGTGAGTCGTGATCAAGTAATGACCACGTTGTCTTTATTCTCATTTAATTGGCAGGAAAGAATGATTAGTTTAGAAGTATTGTGGATGGCTCAGTCAATTGATCTTTGCGTATTTAGCATTATGCATTGGTTTTGGCCAAGACAAGAGAGAGAGACTAGCGAGTCCCCATCTCTGACTCACAGGCCAGTTTATAAGCAATTTTTAGAATTCATAATTTAAAATAATTTAAAAATAACAGGATGTCAGTGTTGCATTGTGCCTGATTCCTTCAGACAACAATAGAAGTTAAAAGTACTTTAAAATATTTGACTTCACAAGTAATATAATCTGGCAGAGGAACAAGAGCATTTCAGTTTAAACAAGAAAAAGATTCTTGTTGAGGTTGATTCAATGTGAGGAAGAATAATGTGATGTGAAAATTTGCTGAGTATGTTGAAGATGGATGTGTTGATGAGACCAAAATAGTTGCGGAGGCAGACTATGGAGATTTAAGACCTGAAATATTATAAAGAGAAGCTATGCATGACAGAACTGAACGCGCCTAATAAACAGTACACACAGTACTCAGTATGAATGATTATGTACAGTAGGTCCCATTTCGTTTTGTCGTCTTCACTCGCGCTTTTCATGAATCACGCAGCTGCGTGAAACATATTACATCCTATCGCCACAAGGTGGCAGGTTAAGTCCGCTTTAGCTCTGCCAGCGACTTAAACGCTCAGGTATAAGACTGCGTGCAAACCTTTTTTGCCTAGTGATACTATGATGGCCGAATGGTTAGAGTTGCCGGTTAGGACCTGGGGGATCAGGGTTCGATTCTTGTCTGAGGCAGTTTAGGTTGCACACCTTTTGGTTTCTTGTGAGCAATTACGTAACGTTATCAGCTTGTTATCTTCTTTCCTTGTCAAAAGGAAATGTCATGTTGTAAAATTGGCATTTTTATTCCTGCAGTTTGGTTGGGGCTGATTGTGGAGTTGAATTCCAATTGTATTTAAAGTTTACATGTTTATAAAGCTCCACGTGCACCGGTCTGTGCTACACTCACCTGAGAGAGAGAGAGAGAGAGAGAGAGAGAGAGACAGAGAGAGAGAGGTGTGCGAAGGACAAACCTGCTGTTTACACAAAACTAAGAACTCTACAGACTAAGACCTCATCCATGAATATAATCAGCGCATCTCTAGCTTTAAAGGAGCAATATGTAATATTTGCATGTCAAGTCATCATTAAATGACCCGAATATTTCAAAAGGCGTTATTAAATCATACTATTTTCGAATTCATCTTTAACTGATAACAGTAGTTCAGCCGAGATATTTGATTATCAAAATTAGTTTTACGACCCGTAAAAGTTGTTATTGTTTTGATTTTGATGTCCTACCCTCCGCCGTTTCGCCAATCAGGAAGTGTCATGTAAGTCCGTGATCGGGTTGCCAGAACTCCGCGCAGCTCATTAATCTCAGTGGTAAAATAACATGTGGCGCAGAACTAAAAAAGGTCTTGTTATGACTCTCAAATCATTAATGACAAAACAAAGACTAAAACGAGGATTTATATCGGGATGCCTTTGAACAATTGAGACAGCTGATAAAAGTTCACGTATGTTGCAGAATTTTCTAGTTTGACTCCGTTCTTCACAGTGTCTTTATTCGTGTCAATCGGTGGTCTAGTGGTCTAAACTGTGCGCTTACAATGCAGGAACCCGGGTTCGATCCCGGGCTATGTCTTTTTGTATTTATTGCATGTTATCACATTCTATGACAGATTGCTCTAAAAACGGTAAAAGATGAAGGTCAAGACGTTTTTTTGCAGATTATAGCTTAATTGTAAAAATAATCATTTAAGACCACATGTACCCCAATTAAAATAATGTTAGTCTCTTTTTGATGTGGGACTTTTACATGTTTGTCTAAAAAATAGGGAATAAATAAAATTGAAAGGTGATATCCTCTTGAGCAAACCCTGATGTTGATACGCTGAAGAAATACGTTCCAACATCCATTCTTCCCACTCCTATTTTGGACATCAATTGCTTATTTATTTTGCATAAACTATGTCTTACATTGCTTTTATTTTGTTTTTGTTTTTTATCTCAAATGTCCAAATAATAATAATAAAAAAACATTAATCAAAACATTCATTCAGCATTAGCACGGCTGTCATGGCAATGTGAATGGAGACGGACAAACAACTGATAAAATAATTCCCTGTGTTTGCTGCTGGATTTGGTGTGAATCTGGCAACCTGAGTCAGGGAGAGTGGGAGAGGACTACAAAATATTGACTGTGACTGCAGTACCACTTTTGGCCAGATTTTTACATATTGTTCCTTTAAGTCATCTTTTATTTGAGAACAATCACTGCATGAAAAGTGTGATTTTCTCGGCCCTGTATATTACTGTGAAACTTCTGGGATTCGGCTGTTGACGGTAGTTTGTTGTCCCCTCCTCCCTCCTCCACAGGAGCCTTTAACATGTAAATGGCAATGCTGTGAGCTATACAAATGCTAATCAGGGTTGAGGGGGAGCACAACTTGATCCATGCTGCACAACTACTTTCAGTCAGTCTGCAGCATGGATCAGGTCAGCACACTGTAGACCCGGATTTTGTAAATGCTCAAACTGTTTACACACACACACACACACACACACACGCACACAGAGAAATATTTCATCATGATTGATTATAGCTTGTCATGTCAAAATCAATTAAATAAATCCAATAGGACAAAAGACATGTTGAAAGTGTAAGTGCTCATCAAAGGATATATGTATGTACAGTACAGACCAAAAGTTTGGATTTTGTCTTTTTTTCATGACTATGAACATTGTAGATTCACACTGAAGGCATCCAAACTGAATTAACTCATCTGGAATTATGTACATATCTAAAAGAAAAAGTATGAACCAACTGAAAATATGTGTTATATTCTTGGTTCAAAGTAGCACCATATATATATATATATATATATATATATATATATATGTGTGTGTGTGTGTGTATGGCATTAAAACGGCTGTTTTAATGCCATAAAACAGTTCATTCAGTTCATTTCCTCTATAAATTCATTCATGTCATTGATGGCCTAATAATAGTGTAGTAGCCTACATAGGATACAATATATGCAGCATAATATGAATAAATATATATTTATATAAATATTATTACATTAATTATGAGGCAGGTTGACCAATAGTGACAGATCTGCCAGCCAATCACGAGAGATTATACTTATTTGAAAGTAGTGATTTCATCCAATGGGGAGTAAGCTACCAATGGGGAGTAATCCCACGTGGGCTGGCCATGTGTGATTTTTCAGCCAATCACATACATAATCATTACCTACACAAAACATGTGTAGATATACCAAATTCAATTTCCATGGATTTGTGAGATTTCATAACACTTTGAAGCAACTTTTGTTAAAGTTAAACTCATCATTCTATCAATGTGCAGAAGCCAGTACTTTTCCCTTGTTTTGTCTATCTGAAGGCCAAGCTACATGGCACTGTGGCAGCTGCTGATTGGAGGTCTCCATGCCTCCGCTCTATAATACACTTGCATTCTGTTGTTCGTGTTGTTTGTGCTGTCTCTACCATCGACAATAAAACATGTCTTCTGTCTGAATGAAAGACGCGATCCCAGACTATGTCATCTTCTTCAGATACATTAACAATACTTACCAGGGTTTCCTCCAGAGGGGGAATGCAATAACATTATTTTCATTGGGATACATCTGATCTGGCTCACTGTCTAATCTATAATCTAAAACATGATGATAGTAAAAAAATTACATAAAAACACCAAATCAGAAACTTCCATACAGGAATAATGTGTTCTGAATAGGAGTCTCCTCAGCTGAATAGCGGTTCTCTTTTTTGAGGTCTTGCAGATTTACAGTACACTGGAAGCAAATGTTTTACTCTATGTGGACCTCCCTTTTTTCGTTTTTGAGTTGTTTCTTGCAGATGGAGGAGGGTCTATG